TTTTCCGTCATTCTTAATACAGTTACAAACTTCTTCTTCATTTGCGCAGTTGTTGTACATTCCGCATGCGCACTTACCACTATCAGGAGCTGCTCCGCCCCAATAGTTCATTTCCACGGAGTCACGTGAAACCCAAAAGCCATCGTTCAAAGTAGAACCGAAGCACTCGTACTTGATGAACTGCTCACAGTGCTTGGAAACATTGATGAGACTCACCAGCTGAGAGATGTTCGCTCCTTGGTAGTGTATGTCACGTGAATAAGATCCCTTTCCTTCATATCCGTCCACCAGCGTCCTGTTCTCGCTGTCGTGACTAACGACAGTCACGCCAATTTCGTTCTCGTCGATCATGTCACATGTGACGTTATATGGTTGCAGCCCTCCTTCGCCGCCAGGATAGATGGTACACGGTCCACTTTTTGTATTAGGATAGACCCTCTTTAAGTCGCTGCAAGACTTTGGCCAGAACACTACTGTCGAGATTGAGAGATGAATTTGTAAATGAAATGTTACGTTAATTTCAGAAGAGTTTTATTTTCAAACGAAAAATATTACTTAATGTGGGTTACAAAAATTTTTAGCACTGTTACTTTGAAGCGCAGCATATCAGATATAAATACAGGATCTTTGAAAAAGATTTTTTCCTAGAACGTTACCATGTTGTTGATGGTATACATCCTCAAAAAGTTAATAAATTTTCTTAATTGTATCCTACTGCAAGTTGAGTAAAACAACGATTAGTTTTGTGAATCCCCATTTAACTCTTTTTCTGAGAGAAAGATAGGAATCGTGATGAGTATAAGGCAGATTAAAAAAAGGATATGTCGTTCCAATACCCGCGAGGGTGCACTTAACGTATGCTAGTGGTATTTCTGTCTGATTTTTCTCATAACTTCCGAAAGAGCAAACTATGTCTTTTCATGAATATAAAATCGGAAATAAGTACAATTTGAAAAATAATTTCAAAGTACCACTGCAGTTTTCTCCAACAAATCCGTGAACACAGACACATCGAAATCCTTTGCTGGTGAAACCAACTTGACAAGTTCCGTTATTTAAACAAGGACTGCTACTACAGGGATTCTGTTAAAAGAGAAAGCATTGAACTGATAAGAAAAGATTTATGACACTTAAAAAATGGAATCCAAAAATTATTTAGTGAGGCGTCAAAAGTTGATAAATTTCTGGGGCTCTATTGTGAAGCATTTACCTCAATAGCCAGGTAGTAAGCATCCGTTTCCTGAAGGAAGGTCAGTTTACTTTCATCAACTGTGGCGTTATTCAACTCACATTTGTATCTTCCGCCTTGCGCGAGTCTTACATTGATGGACACACAGTTAGGCTCCATATAGCACATCACACGGCAGCTCCCTTCATCAGGTACCTCCTCACTCCTGATCGTGTGACCCCTAATCACCTTATTTGATATCGGTTCCTCGAACAGGATAATGCGGCATTCGTCACCTGTTGTGGACCACAGTAAAATTTTACTATGCAACATAGTGTGCTCGGGGTTTTCACGATAACTTAGAGCTGCAACTTGCGTAGGAAAGACAAAGCGCGAGTAATCATTGAAGGCCAAATGCTAGGTTGTGAATATAAATTAAGATATTTAATCATCTTTGAGCCTCTATTCAAATTGTTTCACCGCAATTTTGAGTCATTCTTAATATCAAAAAATATCAGTTGATCTACGCAACCTTTTTGAAGTTGCTCTGCAATGAACGAAGTTTAAAACATTAATATCAATAAGAGTTTGGGAGAAAGAAAACGTGATTATTCAAAGCCTCTGAATAATACATTTAACTTTATTTTAATTACAAGCAGGGAGATATATTAGTTCCTTTTCATCGTCTCAAGTTTGATAAGAAAAAATTGAATTAGCCTAGAAGTCAGCTATCGCGTACTTTTAAATCACCTTCAAAAATTCATAAATGGGTTTTCTTTCGCCTAATTTTTTTCTTGTAAAATGCTCTCGATAATTGTTTTCTCGGTAATCAAGGAAAAGAGACACGAATTTTAAATTAGGAAAATTTGTTCAAAACAATCAAACTCGTCCTTGATTAGCAAACAAAATAAAATGAACTCAGTTAAATATTGTTTACCTGACCAAAAGTGTAATTTTTGTCTCATGCGAGGTACATAATCCCTTAAAGCCTAGTTTTCACTGAGCGCCGGTAAAACAGTTCAAACTAGCGACGCAAGCATAACAGCTCATATTTCACCGTGAAAACAGCCTCTACGCAAGCCTCTTCGCAAGCGTAAACGAAAGTGTACGGATCAACATTTTTCTTATATCTTATGCTAGTGCTTGTCGATGTTCGTTTTCATTTGGCATGTAAACCTTATGCTTACGTTTGTGCTTACGTTTGTGCTTACGTTTGTGCTTACGTTTGTGCTTACGCTCGCGATCGCGTCGCCAGTGAAAACCAGGCTTAAGTCATCACACACAGGAAGTGTTATTTCTCTCACGCCCTAACAAACACCTTATCGCATCCTCTATAGGTAATTATGTCAAACTACACGGATTAAACGAATTCAACTCACCAATACAGGCAAAAACTGATACTAATCTGATTCCGAGTAAAATAATAAGGGTAACAGGGAAAGTTCTCGCTCCCCTCTTGAAATAACACGAGGAGTTCATTCTTGTGCATGCAAACACTTGTGGGCTCCGGTAAAACAGTTAAAAAAACTGCTGCTACCACCTAGTTTATACATAGCACTTATCACTATAGCCCGGATAGACTTAATAGTGCACCAGGTGCAATATTATTGGGATGGAATGTTTATTAGACCTCTTGGGTGATAACTGGATGAAAGTTCGAATTAAACATGTGACTAACTTCGGCGATTATAACTTGAGTCAAAGAAAGTAAAAGAAGCATTCCTTGAATTAGCTTAAAGCAGTCTTATTCTATAAGCGATTTCTACTGAGCAATTCAAGTTTTCGGTCCATTAAACTTACAGGACTTTTATTAATTACCTTTTTTATTAATTACCTTTCAATTTATGCATCACTTCTAGGTTGAATAATATCTAGATTAAGCCGAGCCTGAAAGCTCCAGTTAGTTTATTCTACAGCCTCTCACTTTATTGGAACTACTGGCTGCCTTATAAAGAGGTTATATTTACGAGAATTTAGGGATCGGTTATAATGTATGCAGAGGTGGGAGTTAAAGGCAGGAAGTAATTTGAAAAATAAAGAGGCTTTTTATAGGTTCAGTGGACAATGAGAATGAATGACAGTGAGGGTTATTTGTGCAAATACCTAGAGGGGGAAAAAAATCAGGACATCGTCTGCACAATTCTCTTATTCAAACTTTGTAACTTATGGTGGTAAGGCATCCGTGTTCTCGTCTTGTGTGGATGCAATTCATTTAACTTTATGCGTTAAAGTACAAAAAAATCTACTCTATAGAGATTTCAGGAAGGAAGGCAGGTAGAAATAAAAACACGAACTAAAAGAGGAGCGCGCCCAATAATTTGACCTAAATGCTATTCACAATATTAAGACTCATGACATAACAAATAGATTTTTCTGAAAATGAATACAATTTTCCATGTTTAGCCAAAACAGTGCCACCTGTCTGCTGCCCACCCACAGGTATATATAATTAACAGAATGTTGAAGAGAAAAACACTAAAAAGGTCTCACGCAACTTAGTATTTACTTGCATCACCAGAAAAATTATCTAGCTAGAAAGCACTCAAAAAAGTTAAATTATTTTCGAAAATTTGACTTCAATGCCCTCCATAAAAGGGGCAGATAGAAGCAGTTTTACTCCAGCTTGATGCAAATATTATCATAATCCATCTGCTTTTAGTTTGCATACATTCTAATTTGGATAGGTAATCATTACCAAATTTGGTCACCAGTAGTTAAGCTTCGAGAATACATACTTCATTATAAATTCTTCCAGCAGGGAGATATTCCAGAATTGAAAAATCTACATCGTACACTATGCATCCTTGTTACGCTGTTACCTTATTTTGTGCTGCAAAATTATGGTAGTCAATCATTGCAAACTAAAATATCCATTGATTAAGCGTCAATTAAGTTTCACTCGGAAACCATGAAAGCGGTACACCGTCAATATTTGTCAAGCTGGGTGGAACTGTCGAATGGGAGACTGGCTAGCTAATATATATGAAGACTTATCATGAGTGACAGTGTAATACGTCAACAGCAGTCAAACTTCCAACTAGAGTTCACTGCATGAAGCAGCATGGCCAACTCAGAAGCGAGAGCGACCATTTACAAAAGGATCATGGGAGAAACGCTTTGCCCTAAAGCATGATGGGTGAGACTAGAGTCGCTCTTCTGCTCTGTCATGTACCATGTGGTTTGGCAACCACGTAGGGTGAACTAATGGAGATAGAGGAGTGATTTTGGTTTTTCAGTAACCTCCCTTTACTTTGGTCTTCGCGCCGGTTGTTCAATTTCTTTCAAACACTGATTGTTTTCACACGCTCCTTGGCAGGTCTTCTTAGGATCAGTGTCCAACTCCAAAAAAACGCTGAGAGATGATTTTTTCCCCTCTGCTAAACCCCATTCACAGTTGTGACTTGGGTTTAAAACGCGATAGACCCGCGTGGGATGTTAGGATAACACATAGAAAGTTTTTAAATCAGGATATGTAAGTGAAATAAAACCTTGTGGAATATGCTGTTCCTTAAATAGATTTACCTATGGATTTACCATATATATTACCATATTTACCATATTACGAGCATACCCTACTCTTGGATATTTTCAAATTTTCTTTGCGATAAGTGTGTGGGTTCTTAAACTTCCCCCTTCTAACTAGTAGTTAGAAGAAGATGCTGGACACAGGGCCAACGGCTTTTCGTCCTTATCCGAGAAGACTAGAATGCCTAACCGCTTGCAGATATCATGGCAAAGGCAGCATATTCTCCTCAGTTATTTTCAGACCCTGAGTGTGGATCTGGCCTGGGTCTTGAACCTCGACCTCCTGCACAGTAGTTCGGCGCTCATCCACATGAGCTAACCAGACGGCGGTTGATAGGCTTAATAGTCTTAGTCAAATTGATTATTGTGTTTTTCTTAAATTCAACACCATAGTTGTTACAAAAATTTCTTGTCAAAATCCACGATAAATACAGTTTTAGCTGTCATTTAGTGACAGAAAACACTGCCGGCTTAGTCGTACGCGTGGTATTGTCAACGATACAGAAATACCCCTAGATTACATGAACGTAGAAATGAAGAAACATCTGGCTTAAAAATCACAGCGTCTTCTTAATAACATCAACGCCAGGTTTTTGGGAGCCCACAGTCAACCTTAACGTCAGCTAAACTGAACATAATATTCTCTCTAACTTTCCACAGTATATGAGCCTGAAAGGATAAAACTGGTTTACGAGCGTATCATTACAGTTAAGCAGTTCCATAGCACTTCAGCTTTCCTAAGGTATGGTAGCCATGCTCGTTGTTATGACCCGTATCTCCAAACCTTAGCTGCCTGACTGGCAGATCGGTCTTGTCAGAGAGGAAACCACTGTCTTCACGCAACTGTGGATCATTCGCATCACAGTTACAACAATAGCATGCTTCAGCACATGTCTTCTTCATTCCGCATGCGCAAGTTAATCCATCATGACCGACGTCACGACGCGGTTTTGCACCTCCCCAGTAGGTCATTTTCTTCGAATCACGTGACAACCACCAGGCGAACCCCTTCATTCTGGAGTGGTAGCACTCGTACTTAACGAACTGCTCGCAGTGAAGGGAAACAGCAGTCAGACTTTTAAGCTGAAAGAGGCTCGCTCCTGTATAGTTAATGTTGCGCGAGTAACAGCCTGCATCTTCGCATCCTTTCACCAATGTTCTGTTTTCGCTGTCGTGACTTATGACAGTCACGCCAACTCCGTTTTTGTCAGTCATGTCACACATGACCTTATAAGGCAGCAATTCACCTTCACTGTCTGGATCAATCATGTATAGTCCACTTTTTGCTTCACGATGGAGCTTTTTTAAATGGCTGCAGGATTTTGGTAGCACTGTGGTGATAAAGAAAGACAAGTGTTTAAGTAAAAGTTTTGAAAGATTTGCTAAAGGGAGCCTCATGATGGATTACAGCAATGTTGTTTTGATAACTAAAAACTATCTTTTTCATCACATTTAATATAAAAAGTAAAGTGATTAGAGAATTGAGAAAGATTTTAAAGCAATTTTTTTAAGCTTTGTTACTTTGAAGAATCAATTATGCCACAGTTCGTCATAAATATGAGCGCAGCATATCAGATACAAATAAAGGATCTTAAAAAAAAATTTTTTTCCTAGAAAGTTACCATGTTGTTGATGGCATACATCCTTAAAAAGTTAATAATTTTTCTTAGTTGTTAATTACTGCACGTTAAGTAAAACAACGATTAGTTTTGTGAATCCCCATTTCTGAGAGAAAGACAGGAATCGTGATGAGCAGATTAAAAAAGTACTTTACGTATGCTAGCGGTATTACTGTCTGATGTTTATCATAACTTTCGCAAGAGCACTGTGGTGATAAAGAAAGACAAATGTTTAATCAAAAGTTTCTTTAGAAGACTTGCTGAAGGGAGCCTCAGGATGAATTACAGCAATGTTGTTTTGATAATTAAAAACTATCTTTTTCATCACAATTAATATAAAAATTAAAGTGATTGGAGTGTTGAGAAAAATTTTATAGCAATTTTTTTAGCACTGTTACTTTGAAGAATCAATTATGCCACAGTTCGTTATAAATATGAGCGCAGCCGTATCTGATGTAAATACTGAATCTTTGACAAAGATTTTTTCCAAGAAAGTTACCATGTTGTTGATGGTATACATCCTTAAAAAGTTAAAATTTTTTCTTAGTTGTAACCTACTGCAAGTTGAGTAAAACAACGAGTTTTGTGAATCCCCATTTAACTCTATTTCTGTGAGAAAGACAGGAATCATGGTGAGCAGATTAAAAAAGTACATGTCCTTCCAGTACCCGCGACGGTGCACTTTACGTTTGCCAATGGTATTTCTGTCTGACGTTTCTCATAACTTCTGCAAGAGCAAACTATGTCTTTTCATTAATGTACAATAGGAAATAAGTACAATTCAAAAAAGGATTTCATAGTACCACCGCAGTTTTCTCCAACAAGTCCGTGAAAAAAGAAACATCGAAATCCCTTGCTGGTAAAACCAACTTGACAAGTTCCGTTATTCAAACAAGGACTGCTACTACAGGGATTCTGTTGAAATAGCGAAAATCTACATTGTAAGATCTGAATATAAACATGAGGTGAATAAAATCAAAGAAACAAGCTCTAAAAAAATCCCTTCAGATCTTATATATGGTACAAAGACACAACAGTTTCCGCAAAACTTGTCTATGCTAGTGAGATGCAAATTCCGTTTTGAAAAACTTGGTATGTGCATGGCTGTTTTATTTATTTATTGGCCTACTTCAAAGCCGCTATCTCAAGTTTTCTTCTCTTTCATCCTCCTGCAATAGCCTAGAGGAAAAACGAAGATCAACAAAATGATCTGTTGGCCTCAAGTTGCCTTGTTGTTTTTATTTAAGTTTTTGTCTTCTCTAATTTTCAAAACCAGAAACGTATTCTAATTACAGCTCTTTCTATAAGGAGCAACTTAATATACCCTCTTCTATTATTCAATCATTAAACATTACCTCAATAGCCAGGTAGTAAGCACCCAAATCCTCAAGGAAGGTCAGTTTACTTTCATCAACTGTGGCGTTATTCAACTCACATTTGTATTTTCCTCCATGTACGGGTCTTAAGTTCACGGAGACACAGTTAGGCTCCATATAACACATCATCCGGCAGCTCCCCTCATTAGTTACCTCTTCGCTCCTGATAACGTGACCATTAATTGCCTTATTTGGCAACGATTCCTCGAAGATGATGATGCGGCATTCGTCTCCTGTTGTGGAACCCAATAAAAATTCATAATTTCACCCAAATTTCCCCAATAACTTAGAGTTGTACTCGAGGTATCATTAAAAGCCACCATTAAGGTTGTGAACATGTACTGAGATGATGAAATACAGTTTGATTATAATAAAGACTAAAAAGAGTATCCAGTGAAATTCTAAGACTCGATTTGCATTTTCCATCACATTTGTCAATTCTTTGTGATGTTAATTGATTTCTTGAACTCTCGTTTCCTTCCCTTGGTGTTTTTCATACACCATCTTCTTTCCGACACTCTCTAAAAAATGGAAGTTTGAAAATATCCAAGTGGATAATTCCTAAAACTTTACGCACTAGAGGTCTTGTTTCTATCACGCTACAAATAGATTTGTAGAACTGTAGTTTTTAATTCATAACTATCAAACGAATTGTACTTACCATTGCAAGCAAAAACCGATGCTAATCTGATTCCGAGCAAAATACCAAGGATAACAGGGAAAGTTCTGGCTACCCTCTTGAAATAATCCGTAGAGTTCATTCTTGTGCTAACACTTGAGGGCGCTGATAAAACAGTTCAAAGCACTGCAGCTACCACCTAGTTCAAACTTAGTAGTTATCGCCCTAGACCGGATGAACTTAGAGTGCAGCAGGTGCAGGGATTATTTATTGATATGAAATGCTTTTTAAACCACCATAGTGACCGGAGTCCTCGATAAAGCCAACATTCAATTTGTGTTTTGTGAATAATTCAAGGATATAAGATGCGATATTCCTCGAAAGACTTAGGAATAAACTAATTCCAATAACATTCATTTGCGAATTTTACTTTTTTGGATTGACGTTTATGAATTAAACCCGCCTACTGAGTCAAATTCATTTGTTTTACGGAAGTTTCAATTTATGCATCCTTGATGCAATATTTCTTGGTTTTTTTTTTCCCAAAAGCCATTGTGGTTCGGAAATTTCGTTTCAACCCAGATAGAACGCGATAGACGAGCACGTGCGGGACAACCACAAAAGAGATTTTGCCCATAAAAAGTTTTCTTTTTCTGGTTTTCGAGTCAGAACAAGAAAGTAGAAATTTCGACTAAAAGGGGGACGCTAATTGGAAGGAGAGCGCCCAATTGAGGGGGGCGCCTATTAACCTAGCGCAGTAAAAAGTAATAAAAATCAAGAATGGATAACGCACATAAAGGAATTCTGTAACCACACGGAGAAAGAAGAAACGGAAGTGGCTTTAACGAAAAAAGAACAATCTTCTATCGCAGTACTGCTTCCGCTATAGTTGAAGCTTGAAAAGTTTAAAATGGAGAAGCAATGGAAACAGGTGTTTGTGGTAAGCCTACTGCCTGAGAAAGTAAGGAAGGAGGGTAGGGGCGTTTATTTAAGAATGGCACTTGTTTGTCAATGTGGTCATAGGGGTGGGCACTTTTTTGAGCGCGGGCGCTTATTTGAGAAACATCTTTAATGATGTGTGTTTCTTGTTTATCACATGAATTTCCTCTAAGCTGCAGCGAATCACCCTTAGAAAATGGTGAGAAAAGGAAATTAGTTTCATATCTTTACTAATTAAGTATCACCAGTGGCAACATGTCTCGCAAGTACCTGCTGAGGCCTCAGGCTATGGTGAACAGCCTTGTCAAATATTTTCTTACTTAATGAGAGAATACATAATTTTATCGAGTGATGAATATACTCTGATTTCTCAAAGACAAAAAACACCTTGTAATCGTTTCTAGCATGGTTGATCAGAACATAATAAACCCTTACCATGGTTGACCTTCGTACTATCACAGCATGTTGTTACAACAGTGACTCGGAAATGTAGATTGATGCTGATTTGCTGATTCGAAAGTTCAGTTACGGTTTTAGTTTTATACCAGTAGAAAAGCATTGTTGTTTAAAAATGTGATTTGATTTTTGTTCTCTTTTTTTTTTTAATCAGACGATTCCGTAACACTTAAACTTTCCCAAAGTATGGTAGCCCACCTCGTCAAACCCATTGTGAACATCGACATCACCAAACCGCAACTGTTTAACTGGTAGATGTGTCTTTTCATTGAGGAGACCACTGTCCTCACGCCATTTACGGTCATTCATGTCACAGTTACAACGATCACCCCTTTTTGCACACGTGCCTTTCATCCCGCATGCGCACTTGTCACTATCAGGTGCTGCTCCCCCCCAATAAGCCATATCCATAGAATCACGTGACACCCACCAGTTGCGAGTTTGGTTCTGCCAATCATGAAAAAGTGAACCGTGACACTCGTACTTTATGAACTGCTCACAAAATAAGGAAATTCTGGTTAGGCTTGCCAACTGAGGAAAGGTCGCTCCTGTATAATGAATGTCACGTGAGTAACAGCCCGGATGCTCACATCCGTCCACCAATGTCCTGTTCTCGCTGTCGTGACTTATTACTGTCACGCCCACTCCGTCTTTGTCACTCATGTCACAGGTGACATGGTAAGGAGTCAATCCTCCTTCACCATCAGGATCAATCAAAAAGTTTCCACTTATCGCCTTGGGATCGAGCCTCTTCAAGTCACTGCAAGATTTCGATAACACTGTGCAGAGAAAAATGTGAAGTGTTATTGAAAATGAGACTCCTATCATTAGATTGTTTGCCTGAACGTGGCTGGCATTAAGTTATCGAACATTTCCTTCCAAGAATCGATATTACTTCGCCATAACAGTTGATGTCCCATATAAGCATAGTGTATTAGAAAAAGTGCTCGATCATTATTCAACACTGTAAATGTGGTGTTATCCTTTTGACTTACGAAGTTCTATATACAACGCTATGCATTCCATCAAAACGTTCTCAATTTTCCTACAATAATTTGAAGAGCCAATTTAAAATAAAATTCATCGATTTTCCGGCCTTATAAAAATCTATAATTTAAAACCACACGGAAGGAATTGCAATGCCCCGCGCCTGTAAGAAGACTTAGGCTGTCAGGAGAGGAAATTCTTAGGAGATCACTAGAATTCATCCAGGAACCGTTCATGCGCGGGTAAGCTGCGGCAGTGATGCGTTGCTGACAAAGCTCAGCAGACCTGACTTGAACCTCAAAATGAAGGTGCTTTTGTTATAAAAGGTACAGTTTTTATCTATAATTTCTCCCTGCTACAAATATCGCAAGTTCACGTTGACACTAACAATATTTTATTTAAACGTTAAATAATTGAGGAGGTTGAACGTTATTATTCGTGGTAAAAACTATTGAGGACTTTAATAACTTAAATTTCTTTTCTTTTTTTTTTTGGTTTGATAGTTAGATTTTTCTTAAACATTCAGGATCAGGGAAAGCTTGACTGAAAGTAAAATTTTACAATACCAGCACAATTTGCCCCAGCAGATCCGGGAACACAGACACATCGATACCCTTTAGTGGTAAAACCTACTTGACAAATTCCCTCATTCAAACAAGGATTGTTAGCACAGGGATTCTGTGGAAAAAAAAGGAAAGCACTGAAGTGACTGGAAAAGGAGTCAAACCTCTAAATGATTGGAAGCAAAAATACTGTGAGGTGCACGAGGAGTTGATAAGGCGAACTTGACGAGTCCTTTTTAATTTTTATGACAATGAGACACAACAATTTTCACAGAAAAATACCTGTGCTACAAGGACTTCTATGCAAACCTTGTAAAAACCGTTTTTTGTCTCATTGCTCTGCAGACGTAGCTACTTGGCCAAGAAAATTTATCCCCGAAGCTACTGTGAGATACCAACTGCAAATGCTTATACGCCGATCAATCCGAAGCTTCACCATTCCCCCCCTCCCCCCTCCCTTTGCTGGGAAATTTGAACCTTGCGCAAGTGTAATAACTTTAATTATGAACCATCAAATCTTTTTACTCGCGCGCGATTGGTCTAAAACGCAGCACCTTTCCGAAAATCCCCTAGCTAAAACTGGGTGACATCTGAGATTATGATCCATCAAACATATTTGCTCGCCAGTGATTGGTCTATACGCGTCATGTGGCCGAATGTCCCCATAAGAAGAAGGAAAATTTTTCGTTTGTACCAGAGAACACTCATAAGAAATCATCACTCGCTGTAACCAATAAGGTGTTCGTAAACGCGCGTTGCTAAGTATTTGAAAGATTTTATACACAATAGATAAAATACATCTCATCTTGGAACAGATAATGTCCGCGGACAAGTCTCCATACATATTTTAGCGCCAAACAGAAGCTATTGTTTGTATGTAAAGGTGTTTGAAGGTAAATAATTCACCTATACGAGTGGATGGTTCGGGAAAAAGGTTTACAAAGTCAAACTGAAAGTCACGGTCGCTGATGTTGCCTTTTGCAAAAACAATTTCACCATCAAATCCGGCACTTGGGTAGCACATTTGAACACAACTTTGACTCGGGAGGCGGGAACTTGAACGAACCAATCATGAAAAGATCAAATGCCCGGGTAGGTTACCTGGGAAAACGTTAAAGCCTCGAATTGATCGATGCATTAAAGAGGAAAAAGAAGATTCTATCAAATACCTAATAAGCTTCACTTCTTTCTTACTTTTAAACTGTTTTAACCAAAAGTCACTACATTTCATAATTTCTCTCCATGGAAGGAGTAGGTGGTTTCATAATTCCCATGTCTTCAAAATAACTCATTGGTGTAAAGAATTTACCTCAATCGCCAAGTAGTAAGAATCCTTTTCTTGAAGAAAGATGAGTTGGTTTTCCTCAGCTGTGGCGTTATTTAATTCACATTTGTATTTTCCTCCATTTGAAGGTCTTACATTGATAGAGACACAATTAGGCTCCAAATAACACAGCATACGGCAATCCCCTTCATAAGGTACCTCCTCACTACTAACCACATGATCCCTAATAGCCTTATTTGGTATCGGTTCCTCGAACACGATAACGCGGTATTCGTCTCCTGTTAAAGAATAAGACCTTAATTTCGATCTTTTTTTTCAAACGGATAAGTCACTCTACAAGAATGCGAAAAGAATGCTTCAAAAATTGCTTCATATACTTCGTAATCAAAAGTACTTGATTAAAAATGATTTTGACATGATATTTTTTTTTATTTATTATCTCATTTTAATGGTACCACAAGAAAAACACTAGGAAGTCATTTTTCATTTTTAGACGCAGTTTCTGAAATATTTTTGGGAGCACTCCCGTCTTTAATTAGTCGTAAATGGCTCAAAACGGGTATCGAATACAGCGTTTGGGACTGGACCGCCTGTCGAGACACCAATAAACGCAAGTTTCAAACACAAAGGATTTTCAGAGTTTACTTAATCACTTTGAATTCCTGCCGGTAAAAAGGAGAGCGTTTACAAGTTATTACTTCTGAGAAGTCAATAGATCATACAAGTTAACTGGTAACATAGGGTGGAAAATCGTGCTAAAATCTACTCGTGATGAAATATTTTGGATAAAAATCAGCGATCAAAAAAGGGAGGCCAGTCAGTGCAATATTGATAGAGGCGCGGCTTATCGGTCAAAGTTGCCCTTCCTATGTGATTTTAGACGAACGTTTTAGATAGTTTTGCGAATGTAGACGATTTGAGGAGTTCGAAAACACAATCAATTATTAAAAGCCTTGAAATTATGCATTTAACAAAATGGCGGATTTATGGAATCAGACATTTAAGATAAGGTAAAGGTATCATAAGTTTGGAATGACCCAATAAGAAATAATCAACTACTGCATGTACCTTTTATGGAAGGTAATCAGTGGCAAGGGTAGGTTGGTCTCGGTAAACGAAACAGAGAGAGTAGGAGGTGGAAACGCTTCACTTACACGAATAAGCTAAGATAAACAATAAAATTTTGGATTCGATCAGCAAATAAAATGGTATGGTTACCATTGAGCCCCTCTTGATGTGACGATAACTATGAGTTTATTGAACAATTTCGTCGCGAGTCATTGATACAAAGGCGATTATCTCCTATCATGATAGACACCTTGTAAAATCTTCTCCTTTAACCGTTTTTATAATTTGTTCTCAAACAATTAACAATAAACATATTCTGGAATTGTTATTTGCAGTTTTGAAATAAAATCTTGTTGTTATTGTTGAATTGTTATTCGCAGGTTTAAAATATTAAAACTCTCAATTTTTAGCCCAGAGTAAGTGAATGGGGAAACGAGCCAAGGGATTTCTTGGCGACGAGTGTTGAAGTTAAGATGTTCAAATTTACATTTTTCGCAGGGGACAATTTATTGGTGTATCGGTTTTACGATTTTTGTTATTCGCCTGTTTATTTTTCATATTATCGCCTCATCATTTGAGTCAATTTGCTTCAAACTTTGGATCAAAATTCTCCACCTACCAATATCTATTTCTGGTTGTTCGGTTGTAATGATAATTCGTGGCAGGTGTTCTAGTCTCTGTCATGTGCAGGCAATAACCCCTTAATTCACAATTTTTTTAAGGAGAAAATTGTTAATAGCAAACACTTTAAATCTTTTTGGGAGCTTGATAAACAGATGAGTGGAAATAGGCTGAAGATACCACTTCTTTATCAACAAAAGATGCTAATAAAGCATTGCTTTCGAGGTAAGTCCCTACCTGTACAGCCTCCACAAAAGGGAAATATGATTCCCGAGAAAATGACAAAGATAGGAACGAATAACGACATCCCAGAATCAAATTGCTGCAAAGACGCCATTTAAACCCATTCTTTCAGTCAAAGCTTGAAAGCGTCAACGTGAATGAAGGTTTTAGCTTCCTTCTGGCACGAAAAATGACAAGAACTCTGCTTCGTTGGATACTGTTACTGTTTTGGTGAAGCCTCGCAAACACATAGATAGAGTTCCTCTTTATTAATGACCGCTCCTTTTGATTGCTACAAAGACGCCATTTGAACCTTTTCTTTCAGTCACAGCTTGAAAACGTCAAGGTAATTCAGCTTCCTTCTGGCAAAAATAATGACAAGAATACTGCTTTGTGGACTATACTATTATTGTTCGGCGAAGCCTCATAAGCATATAGATAGAATTCCTCTTTGTTAATTACCGCTCCTTTTGAAGTTAAAATTTTGGATCATAGGCCACAAGGTTATGGACAGATGTATGCACGCCCACACTTTACCACATTCGCATTTATTTCTTTATAAGTCTTATTACTTGATAGTTGTCAATTTTCATCTACTGAGAAGACATTCGTGACGCGCGCCTCCTCAATAAATTATCAATGATTGCTTAGTTCAAATTTCCTGTCAAGCGCCTATTAACAACTTTCCTGAACGGAATGGTTGACAAGTGGTACGGATGCTGGAACACGAATATTACTTTGAGACAGTTGAAAATTCCAGTGGACGTTTTTGCTTTAGCGCCGTGAATTAACTTCATAAATGAAAAACTGCCTCCCACGATCTCTGTGGTTAATATAGATGCCATGATAATTTTTTAACGCGGGCACTTCTGCATAAAAACATTTTACCCCCCCAAAAAAAAATGGAACTGTGGCGCATGATTCGAATGTCACCCGATCCTACCGTGAAACCCTGAGTTTACTCTATTTAGCGTTCGTCGCACTAAGATATCATTGTGAAAGGATTCTAGTCTTAAAAGTAACCGAAAACCCCTCCGCAAAAGGGGAAATCAAATGATATTCCAAGGGGGATGAATTTTTTTCTCTTTTCCTTATGGTTTTTGCGTGACGCGTGATGGCCCCAAAATTTGCAGGATGACGCGTGATTGAACCCAAATTATCCGCGTGACGCGGGACCGGACATCACAACGTGATGTGTGATTTGCTATTCTACAATGTGTGACGCGCGATTTACAAGACTTGCTAATTAGATTTTTGTGGTTATCGAACGCTCATTGACCTAGAAGGATACCGCCTGGTCATGATCATGGCAGTGCGTCAGATCTTATCCAGAGAGACCAGAAAGTATCCGAATCCATCGAATGAAAGATCTGAAAGGTTGTCGACCTAAACTACCCAGACGGCTGAAACGGTAATAGACGTTACAGTTTTGGTGTTATTTCATGCCGCCCGAGAAAATTGTAATGTAAGCAATGAGCCAGTACACAAGGAAAAATTGTCTGTACCAGTTAGTGGTACACAACATTTTTCATATCAAAAGCTACGTTATATCTTTTACTGACATAAAGACAGTGCCGTACAGAAGGGGATGGGGCCGCCAAATTAGCAAAGTTCGTACTAGTTCTTGCGAGATAACTAATGAGCCATATATGAGATCAAACTGCGAAAAATTGTCAAAACTACGATTACTGACTTATTAAACAACAAGCTATGATGACTATGATGCCCAGAGTCACACCTCAAATGTTGAATTGAAAAAATCAAAAATCTTCGTCAAGAGAACTTCGAAGGTGAGGCAAACACTGAACAAGCTATTGGATGAAGAGGATACTCAACGAAGCAACTTGAATAGTAAACACGTATGCTTAACTCTTGTGTTAAATATCCTGATTCTTTAATTTGTTTTTACTGTGTTCGATACTTGTAAAGTACGATTGATATTACGATACGAAGCCCGAGTAAAAGCTCTGGGAGCGTCTAGTTTCAACAAGTAAGTCGTCTTTATTTGTCTAACAAAAAGCAATATGACGTGTGAAACGCAATTCATTTCTGGATAAAAAACGTTATATACAATATAATCTTTAATAATACATCCGATAGGTTGAAACCTTACACTATTAGCCTAGCGTACTTATTCCTTTTTACGTGACACGTGATTGGTCAAAAAAATTCTCCGTAATACGTGATTTAATAAAAACAATTCAGTGTGACTTGTGATTGGAACCTCCCCTTTGCCACCCTCACCTAAGTGACTGAGCAGACGATTACAACGCACACAGAATGTCAAGTGATGTTTATTAAATTTAGATGATGGTGCTAAGACGTAATTTTTCTGGATGGAAGTAGCGGTTGAGGTTGTGTGTGGTTCGAACTAAAAGAAAATACAATAGAAACTAAACTATGAAAAATGCGAAATGCAACATTAACCTAACTAAAAATTAAGCGATTGCCTAGAAAACTGAATACGAGAACTACACCAATTATACAGACAAAATTCACATCGTAAATGTAAAAGAAATAAAGACTTACTTTGATCTAGCTCCTAACGATAGCAAATAACTTGTAGCGATTATCTAGCAGCGATGATTTTGTTGCAACAATTTATTAGCGATGATTGAAATAAAATTTTTACACGTGTCTTTAAATGGGAATTGATTAGAGATAACAAACTTATTATGTAATAATCATTAATTAACGAAAGACTTATTGATAAAAATGAACCAGAACAAAAACGATGATAAAATGTGTACTAACTAAGCGTTTCAAAACTAACAGTGTTAAAGTCGTCAGTAGTGTTGCACAATTTTAGAACAGGTTGAATGATTTCGCTGTGTCACTTGTAAATTTAAAACAAAAGTATTACTATCACAAGGGTTACTGAAATTTTGCACATCAATGTTATTCAGTGTCAATTAATTTTAATGAAACATTTGAGTTCATTTGTGAGAATGATTATCTTGATTTATTCAATTTTGAACCTGCTTCAGCCCTCTATGGCTTCACTCCACCTCGATAATCAGTTCATGTACCATATAACTATAAGTGGAAACTGTTGAGCTTTCTTTTTTCATTCATTTATTTATCTACTCATTTTCTCACGTCATGATCTACACCTTGTAAAATCTTCTGCTAGAATTTAAAATTACAGAACTGCAATTCATGGTAACCTCTAAGATTACACTCACCATTGCAAGCAGATACCGATGCCGGTCCGATTCGGAACAAAATACAAAGGATAAAAGGGAACGTTGTCGCACCATTCTTGTGAGAAGCCAAAGAGCTCATTCTTGAGTAAAATATCTGGCAGTACAATAAAATTAGTTCGAACGCCGCAGTTGACCATTACTTTTTTTACTTGTGACTAAATGTTAATTAAACAATTAAACAGCGTCTCAAGACAACTGTTATCACTAATTTCACGTCTTTTATAAGTAAGTAGAAGAAGTACTCATTTCGTCCTCAATTTAGAGGCTAAAAAGTATTGCATGCGGTAACTTCCCTATAATTTCAAGATATCAGGAATAAACCTGCTGAATACAAAATTATACATAGCATTAACTTTTTATGTGTTCTTCGTAGCGAGTAATGTCTGTTTACATTTAAGAGGACAGGTAGACTCATAGACTCAATAATAATGTAATTCTTCTCATGAGATTCTTGTAAAGAAAAAAAATTTCCTGTTTAAATACGGGTGAAAAAAGTCACATCGTGTAAACATTTCTATTAATACTAAAAAATCAGACGATTTACTAAAGAATCTTTAAAAAAGGTGTGAACTAATATTTGGGAGAAGACTCTAAATCATGGTATTTTTACAATTAATTATGAAGAACCTTAAAGAGAGGCAGAGTCCATGTGAAGCACAATACCAATAAATACTTATTACACGTTACCTAAGAGCACCCATATTACGAACAATCGATTTGTACAACTCTTGCAATTAACTCCTATCGAACTCTATCGAAACCTCAGCAGAACTTACATGACAATACTTCTACTTCCAAAAAAAAAGATGCACATTTGCATGTGCTATATTTGACTAATTATAGCCTTGTAAGAACACTGCTAATCATCACAATGAACGCATCCCTACTTCCTAGGTTGTACAAATGTTGTTATTACTATTTTTTTCGCATTTTTTTCTAACTCACTAAATACAAAATACCCCTAAACTAGATAAACGTAGAAATGAAGAAACACTTCTTAAGGATCACAGCGTCTTCTTAATAACATCAACGCTAGGCCGTTGGGAACCCACAATCAAACTTAACGTCAGCTAAATTAAACATAAAATTTTCTCTCTGGCTTCCAACGGTTTATGAGCCTGAAAGGATATAATTGGTTTAAAAGCGTATCAACGCAGTTAAGTAGTTCCATAGCACTTCAGCTTTCCTAAGGTATGGTAGCCACGCTCGTAATTTTGACGTGTATCGCCAAACCTTAGCTGCTTGACTGGCAGATGGGTCTTGTCAGAGAGGATACCACTGACCTCACGCCATTGTCGATCATTCGCATCACAGTTGCAACGATACCCTGCTCTTGTACATGTCTTTTTCACCCTGCATGCGCACCTTAATCTATTACCACGCGGTTTTGCACCTCCCCAGTAGGTCATGTTCATCGAATCACGTGATACCCACCAGGCGAACCCCTCCATTCTAGAATGGTGGCACTCGTACTTAATGAACTGCTCGCAGTGAACGGAAACAGCGGTAAGACTTTTAAGCTGAAAGAGGCTCGCTCCTGTATAGTTAATGTTGCGCGAGTAACAGCCTGCATCTTCGCATCCTTTCACCAATGTTCTGTTTTCGCTGTCGTGACTCATGACAGTCACGCCAACTCCGTTTTTGTCAGTCATGTCACACATGACCTTATAAGGCAGCAATTCACCTTCACTGTCTGGATCAATCAAGTATAGTCCACTTTTTGCTCCACGATGGAGCTTTTTTAAATGGCTGCAGGATTTTGGTAGCACTGTGGTGATAAAGAAAGACAAGTGTTTAAGTAAAAGTTTTGAAAGATTTGCTAAAGGGAGCCTCATGATGGATTACAGCAATGTTGTTTTGATAACTAAAAACTATCTTTTTCATCACATTTAATATAAAAAGTTAAGTGATTAGAGTATTGAGAGAGATTTTAAAGCAATTTTTTTAAGCTTTGTTACTTTGAAGAATCAATTATGCCACAGTTCGTCATAAATATGAGCGCAGCATATCAGATATAAATAAAGGATGAAGGATGTTAAAAAAAGTTTTTTTTCCAAGAAAGTTACCATGTTGTTGATGGCATACATCCTTAAAAAGTTAATAATTTTTCTTGGTTGTTAATTACTGCACGTTAAGTAAAACAACGATTAGTTTTGTGAATCCCCATTTCTGAGAGAAAGACAGAAATCGTGATGAGCAGATTAAAAAAGTACATGTCGTTCCAGTATCCGCGAGGGTGCACTTTACGTATGCTAGTGGTATTTCTGTCTGATGTTTATCATAACTTTTGCAAGAGCAAACTATGTCTTTTCATCAATGTATAATAGGAAATAAGTACAATTCAAAAAAGAATTTCATAGTACCACTGCAGTTTTCTCCAACAAATCCGTGAACACAGAAACATCGAAATCCTCTGCTGGTGAAACCAACTTGACAAGTCCCGTTATTTAAACAAGGACTGCTACTGGGAAAAGATATTCAAAACAATCAAACCCGTCCTGTAATTTTTATATCATGTGATTTATATAATCCCTTAAAGCCTAGTTTTCACAAGCGACACAAGCATAACAGCTCATATTTCACCGTGAAAACAGTCTCTACGCAAGCCTCTTCGCAAGCGTAAACACAAGTGTAAAGATAAAATTTTGTTCCTTTATCTTGCTAGTGCTTGTCGAGGTTCATTTTCATTTGGCATATAAACATTATGCTTGCGTTTGCGCTTACGCTTGTGACTACGCCTATAGAGGTGCTTACCTCTATAGGTAATTAAATAAAACTACACAGTTTTGGAATTTATTTCAACTCACTAATGCAGGCAAAAACTGATGCTAATCTGATTCCGAGCAACATACCAACGATAACAGGGAAAGTTCTCGCTCCCCTATTAAAATAACCTGAGAAGTTCATTCTTGTGCAAACACTTGTGGGCGCCGGCAAAACAGTGCTACCACCTAATTTATACTCAATAATTATCGCCTTAGACCGGATGAACCTTATAGTACACCAGGTGCAACATCATTGGGATGGAATGTTTATTAGACCTCTTCAGTGACAACTGGATGAAATTTGAAATTAATTGTGTGACTGATTTCGGCGATAATAACTTGAGTCAAAGAAATTAGAGGAAGCATTCCTTGAATTAGCTTAATAAAACCATTCTAGTTCTAGGAGCGCCTCCTATTGAGAAATTCAAGTTTTCGGTCTATTAAACTTGCAGAACTTTAATTACCTTTCAATTTATGCGTCATCTCTAGAATGAATAATATCAAGAGTTAGCCGAGCGCGAAAGTTCCAGTTAGTTTATTCTACAGCCCCTCACTTTATTAGAACTCCTCGCTGCCTTTTGAAGAGTTTATATTTACGAGAATTTAGGGATCCGTTAAAATTCATGCAGAGGAGGGAGTTAAAGGCTGATGGTAATTTGTTTATTTAAAATGTAAGGAGACTATCACCTTTTTATAGGTTCGGTGGACAATGAGAGTGAATGACTGTAAGGGTTCTTTGTGCAAATACCCAGAGGGAGATAAAAAGCAGGACATCGTCTGTATAATTCTCTCATTCAGACTTTGTAACTTATGGTGGTAAGGCATCCGTGTTCTCGCCTTGTGTGGATGCAATTCATTTAACTTCATGCCTCAAAATACAAAAAAACTACCCTATAAAGGTTTCAGAAATGAAGGCAGGTGGAAATAAAAACACGAACCAAAAGCGCCCAAACTAAGAGCGCGCCCAATAATTTGACCCAAATGCTGTTCAGACTATTAAGACTCATAATCATAACAAATAGATTTTTCTAAAAATGAATACATATGTCCATGTTTAGCAAAAACAGTGCCACCTGTTTGCTGCCCGCCAACAGGCATAGATAATTGACAGAATGTTGAAAAGAAATATATTGAAAAAAGTTCCATACGACTTAGTATTTACTTGCATCACCAGAAAAATTATCTTTGACTTCAATTCCCTTCATAAAAGGGGCAGATAGAAGTAGTTCTACTCCAGTTTGATGCAAACATTATCACAATCCATCTGTTTTTAGTTTGCATACATTCTAATTTGGAGAGGTAATCATTACCTAATTTGGTCATCAGTAGTTAAGCTTTGAGAATGCCTACTTCACTATAAATTCTTCCAACAGGGAGATATTCCATAATTAAGAAATCTGCATCGTACACTATACATCCTCGCTTCGTTGTTACTTGGTAGTCAAGCACTGCAGACTAAAATATTCATTGATTAAGCGTCAATTAAGTTTCACTCGGAAATCATGAAAGCGGTAGACCGTCATTATTTGCCAGGCTGGGTGGAACTGTTGAATGGGAGACTGGCTCGCTAATATATATGAGGACTTATCATGAGTGACAGTGTAATACGTAAACAACAGTCAAACTTCCAATTAGAGTTCATTGCATGAAACCTTTACTTTGTTCTTCGCGCCGGTTGTTCAATTTCTCTCAGACACTTTGATTGGTTTCTCACGCTCTTTGGCAGGGCTTTTTAGGATAAGTGACGCACTCGAAAAAAACGCTGAGCGATGATTTTTTCCCTCTGCTAAACCCCATTCACAGTTGTGACTTACGAGCAAAAATTTCTCAAAATCAACACCATAGTTAGTGCGAAAATCTGGTCAAAACCCATGATAAATACAATTTCAGCCGTCATTTAAAGACAGAGAACACTACTGGCTGAATCGTGGTATTTTCAAGATACGATTATGTCTACTTCCCACTCATTCCGTAGAATAACTTACAGCCTTGGCAAGTGAACCTTGTAAAATATTCCAAATAGCTGAATGAGAAAATAAGGAATTACCATTACTATACAGCACTTTGTGGTAAAATGATAGGTATTCGGTCGTTTCGTACCCATGGATATTTTGTACCCTGACAATTCGTACCCAGGCTCAGACGTTTCGTACCCACTTTCGATCAGTTCGTACCCAACCCTTTGGTCGATTCGTACCCAACAAATTATGAAACAAAATGTTTAAAACAAACATAAACATTTATTTAAGTTATCCTAGTTATCGCAAAACAATTAAGATGCACGCTCGCACGCGCAAGGTATATGTGTGATCTTATTTCTAATATTGCTGAACTTTACTTAACAATAAAAGTGTCAGTGGCCCGCGTAAGGTAAGTGTTATTTGCTTTTCTATTGTTTATACTTGCGAGTTTCTTGACAATAACAGCTAATTATTATCGCGCGCAAGATAGGTGGGATTTTTTCTCTTTCATTTCAAAAGTATTAAATTAGAATATTGTAACAAAAAGAGTAAATGACATTAGCATTAACTAATGAAGTGGTTAGAATTTCGATCCTTTTGGTTTAAGGGTCCACTAATAAAAATGTGATTTGATTTTTGTTCTTTTTTTTTGTTTTTTTAATCAGGCGTGTCCGTAACACTTAAACTTTCCCAAAGTATGGTAGCCCACCTCGTCAAACCCGTTACGAACATCGACATCACCAAACCGCAACTGTTTAACTGGCAGATATGTCTTTTCATTGAGGAGACCACTGTCCTCACGCCATTTATGGTCATTCTTGTCACAGTTACAACGATCACCGTTTTTTGCACACGTACCGTTCATCCCGCATGCGCACTTGTCACTATCAGATGCTGCTCCGCCCCAGTGATTCATATCCCTAGAATCACGTGACACCCACCAGGCGTACGTTTGTTTGTTTGTACCGTGAAAAATTGAACCTCGACACTCGTACTTTATGAACTGCTCACAAAGCAAGGAAACTCTGGAAAGGCTTGCTAGCTGAGGAAATGTCGCTCTCGTGTAATTAATATCACGTGAGTAACATCCTGCAGGCTCACATCCGTCCACCAGAGTCCTATCTTCGCTGTCGTGACCTATGACTGTCACACCAACTCCTTCCTTATCACTCATGTCACAGGTGACGTGGTAAGGTGGTAATGCTCCATCACCATCTGGATCAATCAAAGAGATTCCACTTTTCGCCTTGGGATCGAGCCTCTTTAAGTCACTGCAAGATTTTGATAACACTGTGTAGAGAAAAGTAGGAACATTGATGATTAAAAATAAAAATGTTATCATTGGATCTTTTTGCTGTTTTTTTTTTTTTGTTGAATACGTTGTCTGCATGTGGCGAACAATCCATTCCAAGAATCGATACTATCTCTTTAAACATTTGATGGTACATGTGATGAGTAGAGAGTTTCAGGAAAGGTGTACGATCATTATCCGACATTGTTGTGTTATCTTTTTGACTTACGAAGTTATAATTGCAACTCTTAATTCTGTCTAAACATCCCCAAATCTTGCCGAAATAATTTAAAGGACCAATTTGAATTATAAATAATTGAGAAGCTGTTCGCTTTCGAAGAGAAATGATGGCACATGGAACAATTTAAACCTTGCGACCTATAAAGTGCAACCTGAAAGAGGGAATGTGAAATCTGATATTCTGAAGTCAAATTAGTATCAATTCGTGCAGGATTTGAGCCAATAGAATAGGATCATAATATAATTTCACTATACCATTGCAGTTTGCTCCAGCATATCCGGGTTCACAAACACATCGAAACCCTTTGCTGGTGAAACCAACTTGACAAGTTCCGTTATTCAAACAAGGACTGTGACTACATGGATTCTGTTAAAATAGCGAAAATCTAAATTGTAAGAACTGAACACAAACATGAGGTGAATAAAAGCAAGGAAACAAGCTCTGAACAAATCCCTTCAGATTTATGGTACAACGACAGAACAGTTGCCGCAAAACTTGTCTATACTAGTGAGATGCAAATTCTTTTGCGAAAAACTTGGTCTGTACATGACTGTTATGATTTATTTGCCTACTTTTTCTTCTCTTTCATCCTCTTGCAATAGTCTAGAGGAAAGACAAAGATCAACTAAATGATCTCTCGGCCTCAAGTTGACTTGACTCGCCTCGACCCGCCTCGACTCGACTCGCCTTGCTGTTTTTATTTTAATTTTTGTGTTTTTCTAATTTTCAAAAACAGAATATATAAAGAGCAACTTAATCTTAATAAACATTACCTCGATAGCCAGGTAGTAAGCACCCATTTCCTCAAGGAAGGTCAGTTTACTTTCATCAACTGTGGCGTTATTCAGCTCACATTTGTATTTTCCTCCGTGTAAGGGTCTTAAATTCACGGAGACACAATTAGGCTCCATATAACACATCATCCGGCAGTCCCCCTCATTAGCTACCTCTTCGCTCCTGATAACGTGACCGTTAATTGCCTTATTTGGTAACGGTTCCTCAAAGATGATAATGCGGCATTCGTCTCCTGTTGTAGAACCCAATAAAAATTTGATAATGCTATTTATTCTCACCCAAATTTCCCCAATAACTTAGAGTTGCTCCTTGTGCAGGATAAGAAGTACTCGAGGTATCATTAAAAGCCACCGTTAAGGTTGTGAACATGTACTGAGATGATAAAATACGGTTTGATTATAATAAAGACTAAAAAGAGTGTCCAGTGAAACTCTACGACTTCATTTGCATTTTTCACCGCATTTGTCAGTTCTTTGTGAGATTAACTGATGTCTTGAACTCTCGTTTCCTTCGCCCAAGTGTTTTTTATACACCATGTTATTTGCGACACTCTCTGAAAAAAGGAAGTTTTAAAATATCTATGTGGATAATTCCTAAAACTTCACGAACAGGTGCTCTTGTTTTTCTCACGCTATTTACACCTTCTAAAATCCTCTACAAATAGATTTGTCGAACTGCAGTTTTTAATTCATAACTATCAAACGAATTTTACTCACCAATGCAAGCAAAAACTGATACTAATCTGATTCCGAGCAAAATACTAAGCATAACAGTGAAAGTTCTCGCTCCCCTCTTGAAGTTATCCGAGGAGTTCATTCTTGTGCAAACTTTTGTGGGCGCTGGTAAAACAGTTCCCTTATCACTTTAGACCGGATGAACTTAATAGTGCACCAGGTGCAATATTGTTGGGGTGGAATGTTTATTAGACCTCTTGAGTGATAACTGGATGAAAGAACAAATTAAATATGCGACTAATTTCGGCGACTATAACTTGAGTCAAAGAAAGTAGAAGAAGCTTTCCTTGAATTAGCTTAAAAGCAGTCTTATTCTATAAGCGATTTCTACCGAGGAATTCATTAGTTTTCGGTCCATTAAACTTACAGGATTTTTATTAATCACTCTCGATTTATGCGTCATTTCTAGAATGAATAATATCAAGATTAAGCCGAGCCTGAAAGCTCCAGTTAGTTTACTTTACAGCCCCTCACTTTATTAGAACTCCTCGCTGCCTTTTGAAGGGTTTGTATTTACGAGAATTTAGGGATCAGTTGTAATGTATGCAGAGGTGGGAGTTAAAAGGCTGACAGTTATTTCTTTATTTAATATATAGGGAGGCTATCATCTTTTTATTGGTTCGGTGGACAATGAGAGTGAATGACTATGAGGGTTATTTGTGCAAATACCCAGAGGGGGATAAAAAGCAGGACATCGTCTGCATAATTCTCTTATTCAATCTCTGTAACTTATGATGGTAAGGCACCCATGTTCTCGCTTTGTGTAGGTGCTATTCATTTAACTATGAAGATTTCAGAAAGGGAGGCCTGTAGAAATAAAAACACGAACTAAAAGAGGAGCGCGCCCAATGGTTTGACCCAAAAGCTATTTAGACTATTAATACTCATGATCATAACAAAAAGATCTTTCTAAGAATGAATACAAATGTCCATGTTGAGCCAAAACAGTGCCAACTGTTTGCCGCCCGCTAACAGGCATAGATAATTGACAGAATGTTGAAGAGAAAAATACTGAATAAAGTTCCACGCGACTTAGTATTTACTTGCACTACCAGAAAAATTACTGATCTAGCTAGAAAATACTCAACAAGTCAAAACGTAACTTATGATGGTAAGGCACCCATGTTCTCGCTTTGTGTAGGTGCTATTCATTTAACTTCATGCGTTAAAATACAAAAACACTACTCTATGAAGATTTCAGAAAGGGAGGCCTGTAGAAATAAAAACACGAACTAAAAGAGGAGCGCGCCCAATGGTTTGACCCAAATGCTATTTAGACTATTAAGACTCATGATTATAAACAAAAAGATCTTTCTAAGAATGAATACAAATGTCCATGTTGAGCCAAAACAGTGCCACCTGTTTGCCGCCCGCCAACAGGCATAGATAATTGACAGAATGTTGAAGAGAAAAATACTGAATAAAGTTCCACGCGACTTAGTATTTACTTGCACTACCAGAAAAATTACTGATCTAGCTAGAAAACACTCAACAAGTCTGTTAAATTGTTTTCGAAAATTTGACTTCAATGCCCTCCATAAGGGGGCAGATAGAAGCAGTTTTACTCAAGTTTAATGCAAACATTATCACAATCCATCTGTTTTTAGTTTGCATACATTCTAATTTAGAGAGGTTATCATTACCCAATTTGGTCGTCAGGAGTTAAGCTTCGAGAATACCTACTTCATTATAAATTCTTCTAGCAGGGAGATATTCCAGAATTAAAAATCTGCATCGTACACTATGCATCTTCGTTACGCTGTAACTTTATTTTGTTCTGCAAAACTATGGTAGTCAAGCACCGCAAACTAAAATATCCATTGATTAAGCGTCAATTAAGTTTCACTCGGAAACCATGAAAGCGGTACACCGTCATTATTTTCCAGGCTGGGTGGAACTGTTGAATGGGAGACTGGTTAGCTAATATATATGAGGACTTACCATGAGTGAAAGTGTAATACGTCAACAGCAGTCAAACTTCCAACTAGAGTTCATTGCATGAAACCTTTACTTTGTTGTTCGCGCCGGTTGTTCAATTTCTCTCAAACTTTTTGATTGGTTTCTCACGCTCTTTGGCTGGGTTTCTTAGGATCGGTGACATATATACTTGAGAAAAACGCTGAACGGTGATCTATTCCCTCTGCTAAACCCCATTCACAGTTGTGACTTACGAGCAATAAAACACATTTCCTTGGGTTTAAAACGTGATAGATCCGCGTGGGATGTTGGGATAACACAGAGAAAGTTTGTAAATCAGGATATGTAAGGCGAGCACGTGAAATAAAACCTTGCAAAATATCCTGCACCCCAAATAGTCTTAGTTAAGTTTATTATAGCGTTTTTCTCAAAATCAACACCATAGGTAGTGCGAAAATCTGGTCAAAACCCATGATAACTACTATTTTAGCTGTCATTTTGAGACAGAGAACACTACTGGCTGAATCGTGGTATTTTCAAGATACGATTATGTCTACTTCCTGTTCATTCCGTAGAATAACTTACAGCCATGGCAAGTGAACCTTGTAAAATATTCCAAATAGTTGAATGAGAAAATAAGTAATTACCATTACACCACAGCACTGTGGTAAAATGATAATATATAACATACGAACTTGTTTTAAAAAAAACTTTACTCACGGCATTTACAATTGCATCTAGCTATGGTGAACACCTTCATGATCGTGATTTTAACATTTAGATTAAGATCCTAGTTTTATAACTGTAGAAAAGCATTGCTTAAAAAAAAGGGCAATTTAGTTTTGTTATATTTTTTCAAATCAGGCAAGTCCGTAACACTTGAACTTTCCTAATGTATGGTAGCCCACCTCGTCAAACCTGTTATGGACGCCTACATCACCAAACCGCAATTGCTTCACTGGCAAATGTTTCTTCTCAGTGAGCAAACCACTGTCCTCACTCCAATTATTGTTATTCTTGTCACAGTTAACTTGAGGGAGGAGTGGGGGGACGTTTATTTAAGTGTGGCACTTGTTTGACAATGTGGTCAAGGTGTGGGCGCTTTTTCGGAGGAGAGCGCTTTTTTGAGCGTGGACGCTTATTCGAGAAATATCTTTAATAGTGTGTGTTTCTTGTTTATCGAGGGGGGCACTGGGATTTTCGGTTTTGCGGTTTTGGCTATTTTTTAGATCAGTTTTTCGGTTTTTGTGCCAAAAAACTTGGTTTTCTCGGTTTTGGTGTTCATTGTGGTTTACGGATTTTCCGTTTTTTTAGCATTTGGTTTTGGCTTTCGCGAAAAATATTAATAGGTTTTCGGATTTTCATATTTGACCTATTTGGGTTCCGGTTTCTCTTCGATCTGAGCGGCAATTACGCGCCTCCACTGATCTCGAATAGCAGCTAAACGCAAATGTTATCGAGACGAATGCGTGACAAACCATTGAAATATCGTAGGGATCCCTAAGTAGCCTACGTGTTGGGGGGGGGGGGGAGGGTACGGCTAAGCACGGAACATTGCCAGGGTTTTTTTATCAACGCCACCTCGAAGTTGGTGACCAAGTTACAGACCACACGTGACTGATTGATTCAACATTCCAATAGAATCTCCAAACTTTCAGGACTTAGTTCGCAAATGGAAAAGTTAGATTAGGGACTTTCGATGAAACTTTCCAGAGCTATAACTTCTTGCGACTGCAAAATTGCAATCCTATAGAGGACGTTTGTGCGAATTCCCTTAATCTAACTAGGCTCCATTACCAGCTGCTGAGTTCGCAGAGACTACGCTCAAGGTCCTCGAGAGAGCAGCTGTTAATTTAAGCAGATACCAGAAGATACGAATGCCAATGAAATGATTGATTCTAAAATTAAAAGTGATTCCCATACTTTTGATAAATTCTTCATAACATGCCATGTGTTTATATTTATCCCTTGGGAATCCATCAGAGGTTTTTTTTTCTCAATAGCATCACTTCTTCTCAGCTCTCTTATGAACAAGTCAATCAAAACATCTGAAATCCTCAGAAAAAAATGTAATGTATCTATGATGACATGGTCCATAGGTATAAAATCAAATAATGGTTGTGCCTTACAGTTTAATTTCTTTCCAGTGCTATTTGCCTATTTCGGTGACAGTTCTAGCACCAAATTTGGGGTCATTAATTGACCATGTTTTGCTTGTGTCCCACCGTTGCTCCCTGGGACACTTGCACCACACACAAGCATAATCCTCATTTGCCCTGCCTAAACTACATACCAGTGCTAACAATTTCAAATCTCCACCAAAAAAGTATTCAATTTTATAGGTGCAATTATTTGCACTTATCTCCTTTAAGTTTGACATTTCCATTCGAAGGTCTGCTAGGCTGTCTCTCAGATTATCATATGTATCTGTAGTTTTTATAACAGCAAGTGCATAATTTCCCTTCTCACCCATTGCCACATCCTTTTCATGGAGAATAGTAAAAGTGAAGTTGACAACTGTAAGCCCTTTTCCAATATTTGTACCATCACCACAAAGCTTGATCTTAATAGTTTCTCCATCATTGATTTCTCCATTCTTCTGAAGCCTAACAATGTGCTATTGCAAGCTTTCTACAAATCCTAACTGAACACCTTCAGCATCTCCTGGTGTTGGTTTCAAGTTCCATTCACTGTTTAGCTCATTAATTCACTTCTTGATGGAATATATATTGGGGAGATTATTAGCCTTAATGGCAATTTCATGCCAGGCCTCATTTCAAATAATGACTTCATCTTTGAGGTAGAGCCACATATTTATGTTATCAATGTAATCATTATTAAGGGCCTTTGGGTCAGACTCTGTAAATGGCAGCTCCCCCTCTCCAACAAGATTGAAAGTTTCATATTGATTAGTCTCAGTGTTGAGGACTTCAATTTTGGTTGCAACAAAATTGTACAGCCCAAGAAAGGAGAGTGTAGTTTGGCACTCCTCCTTCAGTTGGTTTTTAATTCTCTTTTGATGGTGCTTAGAATGGTCATTAAACTTCTTCTTAGCTGGGCCTCTACCTTTTTTCCCATTTGTAATCACTTTTTTGGCCAACTGAATAAATTTTTTATTGTAGAAGGTCCCTTT